ACACCACAAAATGGTTTGTGTCTCTTCCCAGCTCTGCGTCCGCGACACCTGCTGGTAGCGTGAGGTCAGCCGTGGTGCGAGAATCTGCACCACAGTCTGCAAGCGCAGGAGGTCAGAGCTTGATGGGGTGTTTTTTGTTGTCTACACTTTAGAAAGTACATATTGGAGAGAAATAATGATGCAGATTGAACCTGATGCTGAAACTGGATCAGCTTCAGTTTAATGTAATGAGTGTAATTTGTATGAGGATGAGAAAAAGTTCAACAGTTGACTACATATCTGACATGGTGACACTAAATTTACTGGAAAAAGAGTGGATTGAGATGCAAATCCATTTGTCAAATTATGGTTGAATTTCATCCATAGGTTGACCAGGAAGATAACAGTGTGTTGAAAATCGATCTGCAGAAGATGTACATTTCAGTTATTTTCAATTTTTCACCAGTATGAACAACAATTACATCTTAGTGTATTTGTCCAACTATCCTCTTAGAGTAAATATCTGCAAAGAAATTGCTTCATGAATATGGGGGAAATATTTAACATTTTAATAGATATTTCCAAATAAAAATTTGGAAAAAACTCCAAAAATTTACACTACCACCAGCAAAGAGTAAGACTAACCATTTTCTTATACCCTCATGGTTTCTAGATATTATCAATCCTTTTAATTCCTAATAATCTGATAAGCAAAAAAATCTTACTTTTACATTTTTTTCAGTTACTAAAGATGTTGATCTTTTTATGTTTATCAGTTGTATTACATGTATACATGTGCATGTGTGAATTTACTGTTCATATTCATTTCCCATTTTTCTATTTGACTTGTTTTATAAACTTTGAAAGATTTCTCCACATTGTAAAATTTATATTCTTAATCTGTCAAAATATTACAAATATTTTCCAATGTTTTATTTGTATTTTAGTTTTATTATGCTTTGTCATAAATAAGGCTTTCATTTTAAGTTGCCCAAATCTATCTATATTCCTTTACAACTTTTGCCTTTTAGATGTCATGCTTAGAAATTTTCTGACCTTAAGCTTGTGAAAAAAATCCCAGTCTTCCTTTGACTCTCTTATGGTTTGATGTTTTACAGTTAGATTTCTGTATTTAGTGTGCACAGTTAACTAGATGTGCACTGATTGCTTTCCCAATGACAAACTAATTACCCCAGTGACGTTTTTCAAAAATGCATCCTTTCCTCCTTTTGAATGTTAACTGAACCATATACTAAATTGCCATAAAAAGTTGAACTTTTTTGTGAGTTTCCCTTTCTACTCTGTTGGTCAGTGGCCTCTTGCAAACTCCAAGGAAAGTCCACAAACATCACTGTTGGCCCTGAAAGTTTTGAGCCTCTGCTCCATCAGACACCTGGTATGGAAGAATACAAGCCCCTCTTTAAAATGGGGTTTTCTGTTGCTTACAGCAAAAAAGCAGCTCTGATTTAAATGTGCAATAAAAACATTGGAAACTTTTTTTTAAATTAAGAGGTGTAATAAAAGGATGGGGAGAATAAATCTCTTATCTTTGTTTTCTAGGATATATGCCTGTAACACGTTTGCAGTAACAATGCAGTAGAAGTTATCTAAAAATTCATAATAGACTGGAACAGACCCAATTCTACAATGCCGTTCTCAGGAGACCTGCAGCCCTGGTATTGCTTTTCTCTGTGAGTTTGGGAAAGCACCTCATTGTTCTAAAATTGAGCCTCCCAATCTGTGTAAAGACAATGAATCAAGGACTGTTACTGCTTCCTGTTAACAGCTGTGGCTGAGGAGCTGAGTACTCACTTCAGGGCCTGTCTTTCCCTTTCCTAAGGACAATGACTGATTGGAACATTCTGTGCAGGGAGAGGGCTCAAGAGTGGGGAATCAACACTACACTTTCCCTGGCTTGAACCAGAGTGCACACTCATGATACAGAGAGGAGACCGGTGGGCTCCAGAGTCAGCGGTGGGTGGGGTGGGCAGATAGGCGAAATGGGAGAGAGGGGTTGAAAAGGACAAATTTGAAGCTGTGAAATAAGTAAGCCATGGGGAGGTAACGCACAGCAGGGGGACTATGGTTAATAATACCGTGAGGTACACTGAAAGTTTTAAGAGAGTAAGTCTTAAAGGTTTTCATCACAAGGAAAATAATCTTGTTATTATGTAAGGTTATGGATGTTAGCTAGACTTATTGTGGTGATCATTTTGAAACATGCAAATATCGAATCAAACCAATATAATGTTATATGTCAGTTCTATCTAAATTAAAACAGCAACAGGGTGCATAGGGAACCACGGCTCAAGGACCACTTTATGCTTTTCTTTGTGGTGTCGGAACCATCTATGTGGTTCTTTTCTGGTAAGAGTGGAGTGGATCCTCCCCCAAATCTCCCAGCCAAAGCCCAAATTCTACAACGTGTTCCTTTCAGAACTTTCTTACTCTGGTTTCCCCTGGTGTGCAGTCTCCCTTGCAGGACCAAGTCACAAATTCAACTTATTCAATTATAGGTGTGTTCCTGAAGGTCTTTGGCTGGAGGGCCTTGACAGCAGTAGGTATTCAAAAATTTGTATTGCTACTATTAATGACCATTATCTTAAAAATATTATCATTATTATTAATGAACTGTGTCTGGCATATAAAGCGCATCTCTGGGGAAGCGGCTGAGATCCCACCACACTTGGCATGGTCTTCCTAAGGCCTTGCACCTCACGCTCTCCTGTATGAAACGGGTGGCAGGGAACAGCGGGACCCTGATTCACACATACACACACACATGGGACACGCCCAGGACACATACACACAAAAACACACTGACGCAGCTAGATATTTAGAAGATCCTTACAAGAGGCAGAAAACTGGCCTTTGTGTTCACAGCTAAATCTCCACACACAAGGGAATGCAGATCGGGTCACACAGCCCAGACTCGGTAAATTCTTCCGGATTAAATGAATTTAAGCATCCTGGGAGACTCTAACAGCTTGATTTGAATATGAATAGATCAGGTAGAAAATGTAGCTAAGACACTGCTCACTCCCTTCCAGCCACTGCACTGAACATTTTTCATGTATTAACTCAGCTGCCTGTCATCCCAGCCCTACAAAGTAAACACTATTATTACATCAGATTTATGGAGGTGGAAACTGAGGTACAGGGTGGCTGAGTGACTCACCAGAGATCCCATGGCCGGCAAGTGGTAGAGCTGGGATTTAAACCCAGTGAGTCTGACTCCATAGAGTCTGAGCTCCTCACTAACATGTCAGTCTGCCTTAGAGCACAGAGTAAAGACACAGAGGGTAGTCATGTGCACTTAGTTTACAGGTGCATTTGAATCATTTGTATCAAAAACACACAGAATGCACATTTTTTTCTTCATTGAATATGAGGAAAAATGCTCTGGGTATTTTTAATTGGTCATCTAATAGACAAGAAAGAGGAAACTATGTAGATCATCTGATTTAACCACAGCAAAATAACCCTAGATATAAAGACAAAATAATATATGGAGAGAAAACACAACAACATCAGTAGCAAAAAGGGGGTGTAAGAATGGATTCGGAGGGGATGGAAACATGTAAGGAAGCAGAATTCGTGGCTTTATGACAATAAATTTGAAAACGTAAATGAGATAGGTCTCTTTTCTAGGCAAATATAAATCTCCCAAAATCAACTCAAGAAGTGTCAGAAATGAATACTCCCCATTAGTCATCAGTAAATTTTTAAAGATAACCAAATGTCTATCCTTCTAAAATCCATCACGCCCAGATGGTTTTATAGATGCGTTCTATTAAATCACCAATGAACAGATAGCTGTCTTGATAATTTAAAAATACCAGCTTATGGGCAAAACCAGAATGTTTTCAAAATCATCCCAGAAAGTTAGCAGAACTTGCATCAAATCTGAATGAGAACCCCACCATCCGCTAAAAAGGAAACTGACAATAATTTTATTTATTAATATAGATGCCAAAAAGGAAAGATCCTATAATAATTAATTCCACTTTGGCAGTGTATTTTTGTAAAAGAACATACATTGACCAAATCGAATCTGTTTGGGGCTATCAAGCAGTATAGTTAAGGGCGGCTTCTTGGATGGGGACAGGGGGGTGGACTACTCAGGACTGGTGTTGGCACTGTTTAGGGTTGGCTTCTCGCCCTCATCAGACCCTGACCTCGGGGTGACATGGCTTCCGGATGAACTGACGATCTGAACAACATCTGATAACATGATGGAGATCTGAGTATCATCGCCATCCACAACAAAGCTATGAACTACTGGAACGCGTAGGGAACTATTCTTGTGATTCTGGGGTGGCAAGTCTCCCAAGCAAGACAGGAAATCTAGAAGCCAGGAAAGATAAGACTTAGAGATTTCACTACACAAAGTCTTGAAACTGCTTTACAGCCAAAGAACCCCCAGAACAGTATTCAGAGCTTACACATAATGGGCGCTTCATGGAAACATTCCCATAAATGATTCCATGGAACATTAAGTGATAAAGGCAAAATTACAGAACAATAGTTTTGCTTTTAAGAGTTCAATAAAATTGATAACTCTCCTGTGTGGTGGGTGAAAAAAAATAAGTAGGGATGGGGAGGGAGAAAACACAAATGAACAATATTAGGATGCAAAAGGGGTACAAGAACAGTTTCAGAGGAGGCGAAAAACCCTAAGGTGGTACTAGGTGCAACTTTGTGCCTGTGAATTCAAAATTGTCAATGAGATGGACAATCTTCTGGGAAAATGTAACAAATAAAACTAAAGGAGTAGGACCTTTTTGGTTGGGAAAATGGAGCCCGTGTGTGCATCTACATCTAGATAACCGGTATGAGCAGTTCCTGGCTTGTAAATGCAGGTCACCTCCGGGAACTGTAGCGGGAGGGCACCAGGCCAGGCCGCAGGAGGGCACTCACTTACTAAATAGGATGCCCCGCGCTCGGAACCGCAGACCACAGCCAAGGGCCACTTTTGTGGCAGAGGAGACAGAACTGTTGGCTAACGTCCCCACGGGAAGTCCTGGGACTAGGCGGGCGGCGGGCTAAGAGGCGCTGGAGTGGAAACCGCGCGCTCGGCGCCGGAACCCGGCCTCCGCACACCTGCCCCCTCTTCTCTACTCGCCCTCCCGCACGGTGGACACTCATCCCGAGATGCGAGGGCGTTCGGGGGAGGAAGCCCAAGCCCGGGGAGGGCGGAGCCGCGGGGACTGCAGAGGAGACGCGAGTTCAGGTCCCGCTCGGGTCGGACGCCGAGGGCGTCCCCTCGCTTCTCCACCCGCGCCCACCGCCGGGCGGTTCAGCCAGTCCGCTCCCCGGAGGGCCGCGCACGGGGGCGCAGGGCGGCAGCAGGGCGGCGCCCCCGCCCCGCGGCCCTCCGCCTGCTCCGCGCGCCCCCGCACGGCCCCCGCGTCGGGCCGGGGGGACGCACCCGGCGCCCGCGGGCAACGCCTGGTCGGAGCCGAGCCGAGGGAGCGGCGGGGGCGGGGGCTGCGCAGACCTGCAGGCCGGAGCGGGGGACTATTCTTACCCTTCTCTCGTGGTTTTTTTTTTTCTCTCTTAAAAATAACTCCCTTGCTCACACTGCACGTTGGGGGAGCAAGGAGTGACCCCAAGGTACTGACGCAGGGGTTTTATTTATGAACCTTGACGAAGTTCAGGTCAAATTACTCAACAGGCGCGAGCCCGGCCCCCCCCGGCGCTGGTCCCGCCCGGCAGTGCCCGCGGCCGCGGGAGGGGGTGCCGGCGCCCCCTGCCTTCGCTTTCGGAGCAATGACACCGCGCGTGGCCTGGACCCGGGGCCCCTCGCTCGGTGAGCGTCCGCGCCAGGTAAGCGCACCCCGGGGTCTCCAGCGGGGCGCCCGGTGGGGCCTCCAGCGCCCAAGAAGTGAGTGCGCGCTGGTTGGCCGCAAGCTGGCAGGAGAGTGTCTGTTTTGATCACAGGAAATCGTGGGAGGCGGGAGTGGAAGACGGATTTAAAATGTTTAAATTTTGCATTGACGCGTGGGGACGAGATGCGTAGGGACCTGAATTTTTGTAGGAAATGGTTGCGGAGCGGGGTTGGGTGCTAGGCGTCTGAATCTCTGCAGGGACTGAAGGCGGCGCAGTCCGAATTTTTGCGCAAACCTATGAGATACGGGCAGTGAGAGCTTATGATCCTGAAAATGTGCAAGAAATTGTGAAGAGTATGAACCTGGGCATTACCAAGGGACAATGGGAAAAGCACTTACCGCCCTGTTCGCCTGGCCCGCACACCCGGCCTTCGGCAAGATGCGCGCAGACCCTGGCAAGTGACGCCCGCGCACCGCCGGCGCCCCCAGCCCGCGGCGCCCAGCACCTCGGACAGCGCCCTGGCCCGAGGCCCGCGGCGCGCCCCCGGCCGGAGAAAGGGCTCTCGAATGACAGAAGCAAACGCACAGCTCGGTTTCTGGTCCGCTTCGAACGGTTCCCCGTGACTGCGGAAGGGAGAGGCGGGGTGTGAGGGTTCCCCCACGCCTCCGCCAGCCCTGCCCCTGATCGCTGTGGCCTCCCGGGTTTTGAAAGGCGTACCCAGACTTCTTCAAAACCTTAACGTCGCCCGAGCGCTTACCATGCGCCAAGTCGGTGCTTGGCTGTCAGGAGCACCACACTGTCTGCCGTTATTCCCACTTACAGACGGGGAAGCTGAGGCAGCAGAGGCGAAGTGACCGGCGCAAAGCCCAAGCCAGCCTGCAGCCGCGGAGGGTGTGCCCGAGCGGAATTCCCTCCGTGGAGCAGCTCGGAACTTGGCATCGGAGCAACGGAGTTTGCATCAAAGCTGTACCACTTCCAAACGTGCGCTCATGGGCAAAGTTACTTAACGAGTCTGAACTTCAGGCTCTGATCTGTAAAATGAGGGTAACAGTGCTTTCCTTGCAGAAGTGTGAGCGGAGGGTGGTCAGAGACCTCATGGATGTGGGAGGACTCACCCTACTGAATGGTGGTAGAGTGGTGGAGGCGAGAAGGCAGGGAGCAGATTGGAAGAGAAAGAGGGCTGGCAGTGAACACTAGTGGCACTTTACATGGGGCATGGGCACAGAGCAGGGCTCAGAGGTAGGATTCTGGGTGAGATTAATTCAACATGATAAGCCCTTGGATTTTACAGGACTTTGTAGTGTGTTCACATACTGCCTATCATCTGATCCTTATAACAATCCTATAAGGCAGACGTGCAGTTCTGCTATGCATGTGGCAAAGGGGTGCTTGCCTGCATTGCCCAGCTGTGTAGCAGCAGAGCTGGGATTAGAATCCAGGTCTCCTGCGCTCTTCTGCAACCCTGCCATCATGACTGTTCCAACCCCAAGAGCTGGGATTATGGAGCAATTACAGCACAAAAGCATACTTAGATTAGCACTTAAATTTCAGGTTGAACCATGTGAAACTGACTATTTTTAAAACTATTTTTTGCCTTATGGAAACAGCAAATTCATACGGATCAATCTAATAAATGTCCATTGATTATATTTTGTTCCACAAAAAAACTTAAAGCAATTCAGTAAGTTCCACAAGATGTCAGGTTTCCATATATTAGAAGTAGTTGAGAAAATAGAGGACAGACAAGATAAAGGCTACAGTCAAATATAAGATAAATACAAAACGTGCATGTTATAAAATCCTGGAAACTTGCTATGGGTCACTAAGTACAATAAAGCGTATATCCAGGTCCTTTCTTGGGGATATGAGGAGCTTTTCGGATGTCCACAGGAATCTGCTGTTCCTCATCTTTTGTATAGTTCTCCTACTGGGTCAAATGGGAGTACTCTGGGTACCTCGGTCCTCTGAAAGATTTACCACCAAGCCAAACAAGGGAAATTTAACTGGAAATCTGATGAGAGTGTGACTCCAGGAAGGGGAGAAAGAGCAAGTGGTATTTTATCTGCACTGAAGTAATTGTTAGTTATGTTATTTATAATGACTCATGCAAACACACCATACTTTAAAGTGTATAAAAAGGGCTTTTACATCCACTAGCGTGTTTGAGCCTCCTAACAAACTTGCAGAGGTAAGAAAAGTGACAGAAAGAACAGCAGCATGGCATCGTGCCTTGTGTTCCGTGTATCTTATTTGTATCACCTAGTGTCATAAACCCGGGTGCCTGCAGAGGCTCGCTAAGTGACTTGCACGTGTGACTTGGGCGAGTCATCAGAATACAGAGAATGGCAGGGTCTTTGTTGAACTCAACAATGAATAATCCATCTTAGAACATTGTTTTTAAAAAAATGTTAAAGCACTGTGCCAGTCAAGCAATACGTAACCGTGGGCCACATTCGGCACTCAGCTAATTACTGTGCAGCCGTGAACTACAGTACTCAGGCTAAAGACCTGGAAGGGATGGGGCTGAAAGAGCCTGCATTCTGTGAGATAAAAGACTCAATCTCGTCTTTAAATGTCCCATTTCTAAACTGGGAAAGATTGAACAAGAACGCTCTTCTCCACTTCAAAAATCCAAGACTTCCATAATTTTGTGGATAATAAAATAACCCCAGGGTTTCTGGGCAAAAATAGCAAACACTTCCACTCGGCCATCATTTCAGCCTTTCACCCTCCACCGCAGAAAGCATCATTTTATATTTTGGGTGTTGCTGAGGTTTTAGCTTCTAGCATTTCTTTTCCAGTCCCTGCATTGTTAGCCAGAAGCATGGCATCGTGCCTTGTGTTCCATGTATCTTATTTGTATCACCTAGTGTCATAAACCCGCGTGCTACAGAGGCTCGCTAAGTGATTTGCACGTGTGACTTGGGCGAGTCAATTGTAGCGGCGTTGAGTTCAACAGAAACAACCAAGAAGCGAAGGGGATGAGGGGAAGGGGTGCACACCAGAGAAGGAAGTCTCAGTTTACTCTTCTTCAGAAGTGCATTAAAAAAAAAACAAAACATTTTTGGGTCGCTGATTTTTAAAGGCAGAAGCACAGTGCCTAGAGCAGCCAGAGTGGACGGGATTCAGACTTGTGCACATGTGTGAGCTCTGTTCCTTCAGGATTGCTTCCTTTCCCTCCAACAAGCTTAGAAACCCTAAAGGCACCTGATCTTTCCCGCATTAGATGTTCTTAACATTTATTTATAAGATGCACACTAGGAGACAAATTCCCAGATTAAAGCAAGTTAGAGCTTGGCTGGCTTCCACACCCAGTGGGACACCATTCGTTTCTGCCTTTCAAACGTCTCTGCAGTGTGAATGTCCCTCAACCTCCTCACTTCGTGGTTCTGATCGGCCTCCTCTCTCGGAGGCTCCTGGGTGACTGACGTTCTGCCTCTGGCCTTCAGTCCTGACTTCTGCACATTTGACTCTAAGAGCGTGGGAAAGGCATAGACCTTGCTAAGGCCACTTAGGCAAGAAAACAAGACAAGTGGCCACACACACTGATGGGAGAAGCAGATGTGGCTGCGTGAACCTGAGATGATGCACACATTGCAGACGGGAGAAACGGACGGGGAGCTGGGGAGGCGTGGCCGAGGCAGCTCTCCTGGGGGCGGGCTGGGAGGCGACAGTATCCAGGCCCTGTAACGGCCCCGGGACTCAGCTCAGCCATGGGACGTGATGTGTTCTGTCTTCTTCCCCTGCCAGGCCTGATCACCACCACGGCCCAGGGACTCTAGGCTGCGGCCAGGATGATGGACGACGACCCCAAGCTGAGGACCGAAGGGAACTCGCTCTTGAAGGCCGTGTGGCTGGGGAGGCTCAGGCTCACCCGGCTGCTCCTGGAAGGGGGGGCTTATGTCAACGAGAGCAACGATAAGGGGGAGACGGCTCTCATGGTGGCGTGCATCACCAGACACGTGGACCAGCAAAGCGCCAGCAAGTCCGCGATGGTCAAGTACCTGCTGGACAACAGGGCGGACCCCAACATTCAGGACAAGTCGGGCAAGACGGCCCTCATCCATGCATGCATGAGGAGAGCAGGAGGAGACGTGGTGTCCTTGCTGCTGGAGAACGGGGCGGACCCCAGCCTCGAGGACCGCACTGGGGCATCCGCTCTGGTCCATGCCATCAACGCAGATGATAAGGATGCACTGAGACACCTCCTGGATGCCTGCAGAGCCCAGGGCAAGGAGGTGATCATTATAACGATGGATAAATCCTCTTCGGGCACCAAAACCACCAAACAGTATCTCAATGCCCCTCCTTCACCCAAAGTGGAAGGAAGGCAGTCGCCCCCACTATGCACATCTCCCTCAGATATAGAACTGAAGGCTCCCGGCCTGGGCTGCCCACCCAGAGAGAAGGAGGGTGACTTCTTCAGCCTCCAAGCAGGGCATCCGGGTGGTGGAAACACCTCCAAGGCCCTTAATGAGCCAGGGACACCCACCAGGAAAGGCGGGAACCTCAAAAGGGCCCATCTGCCCCGACTGAAGAGGCTCCAGTCTGAACCCTGGGGCCTGATTGCGCCCTCGGTGCTGGCAGCCTCTGTGCGCCAGGACGAGACCCAGGGTGGCGGCACAGACAGCGTCATCAAGAGCATCAGTGACGTGTGCTTCCCCAAAAGGGGCCCCCTCTCCAGAACCAGCAGTACTGATGGCCAAGACCCCACCCTCTTCCCCACCGTCTCAGGGCAGGTTCTGAAGATGCCAGCCTCTGCAGCACCAGGATCCTGGAAGGCAGCCTATGAGAAAGGCCCGGCTTCCCACCAGGGTCTGGCCAGAAGGGGAGACCAAGAGAAGGGTGGCATCGGTCCGTCAGGCCCCTCTGCTCTCTCTGCTCCGGCGTCTCTCAAGCAGCTGGAAAGTGACCTCTACGATTTAGACTTACAGCCAGGGGCTGACCAGCTCAACTCCACTTCCCTTGAATCAGGCAGAGGACTCTCTGATAGAAAGAGGCTCAACGGCTCCCACGTGTCTCTCTCCCACAGCTCCCGGGAGGCCCTGGACGCCGTGCCCAGCTCGTCTCCCAGCTTCACGCGCCGCCGGCCCCTGCATCTTCTAGAAAGAAGAGCTTCTGGGACTCTGCTGCTGGACCGGCTTCCCCACACCCGGCCTGGCTTCCTTCCACCTTTAAGTGTGAACGTGAGCCCGCCTCTCCTGGATATTAGATCTGGCAGCAAATCGTCTCCTCTGGCCAGTGGCTTAAAATCCATGGTTCCTGCGGCTCCAAGTTCACCAAAGAGAGTGGGCCTGAGAGGTAAGACACTCCTCAGAAGGCACTCCATGCAAGTCGAACAGATGAAGCAGCTGTCCGGCTTTGAAGAAATCATGACCTAGAGGCTTTTAGACCCATTTGTGTATTTATTTTTTAGACCTGCGTAGTGTATGACAGGTACCAGATGTAGACAGCACAGCCCTGCAGGCTCCCCGCATCCCGATGGCCCCGTCGTGATGGTGTGTGGCTGCGTCAGAGGGTGAGGCACCAGGGTGCTGCTTCCCTTCTGAAATAATTTCTGGGCTTTTATTGGCCAGAGCTTTGGATAATTGGATTCTGGGGGTGAAATTACCAAAAAAAAATCTCTAAAGGAAGAAACACAGTCAGTGCAATGATCCAAGTGTTTTCCTATGAGACAAACAAGAATTTAAATCACAAGATGGCATTGAAGTGTGCGATCTGTAATCAATCTATGAAGTGCCTACAAAGAATACTAGGCTCTAACATCTGTTAGAATGTGCAGAAGTTCAACCCAAGCCCTAAATCATGTCCGGGTATCTGAGCTGCAGCTGAAGGAACAAGAGCAGAACTGCCCCATCAGACGGGGTCTGGCACGGGGTCCCTGCCTCTCACCGTGCGGTGGGACTCTGCCCAGCACGGCACGCTCGAGATCTTCCCAAACTCCAGACACATGCTGGGTCACATACTAATTTGGATGTGCTACGAGTCCCCAAATACCACGTCTCATGTCCCCTAAATTCTGATATGTCACAGTAATTGGTGCCTTAGAGATGAATCTTGCCCCCAAGTAAAACTTGCCTCTGATTCCTGCTCTGACCCAGACTCTCTGTTGAAATCTTGGAAACAGTGGTCAGGGTTTGCTAAACTCCCTCATTTGGAGTGAATGTGACAGTGTACAGAATACATCTGTAAGAAGTGTTTCCTGATTATTCTTAAGACAACTTGATGAGACGTCCCAAAACCGGAATGAAGATGAGGATGGGATTCGCACAGGGTAAAAGGCGAAGCAGACGGTTCCTATTTAATTTTGTGGTCTGAAAACTTTAAGAGAAGCAAACCGTCCTTCCCCTCCACTTACCTAGGTAATTCAAGACAAATTCAAGACAAAGCCTGAGGTATCTACGAGATGGGAGATTTATAGAAAACACTTGTAAAACCCAAGAAGGGAAGCAGACACTTGGTATAATGCAGCACATTTTAGATGAAGATATTCCTGGTTATTTTTCCATTTATTTTTCCTTCATGCTGCTTACATAAATTTGCTCTATAACTAAAAAAATTGGTAGTCCTTGGGGACAGCATCATATAGAGGAAAGAGGAAAGACTCTGAGATTTGGGTCTGCACCTCAGCTTCACCATTACCAGCTCTGCGACCTTGAGGAAATGGCTTAAGGGCTGCGAGTCCCCCACCGCTCTGTGAGTGGGGTTAATAATGCCCCACGCTGCCAGGGTGTGGAGGGAATTGAATGAGACACTGCACCAAAGTGTCTCCTGAGGTTCCCTGCCCAGGTGGAAGGAACTGGAGAAGAGGTAGCTAATTTTAATTTACTTCTTCAGACCTCTGAAGCCTCAACATCCCAAATAATACATAATATCCCCCACAAAAGGAAAGTGCATCTGAAAAATTCACATATCCTTGAGATCCTCAGTGATTCCATAAATACTGAGCTCTAAGCTCATTTTTCAAGTAAAATAAATTCTGCCACACGAGCTTCTACATATTAGAGCATTTCTATAATGACACTTGCTGGAAATTTATGTGAACGTCCCACACAAAAATGCTACTAATGGTTATTAATAAACCAAGTATTGTTTTTTCTTAACTTCTTTAGGGCTGGCATGTACTTGGCCTCAGCGCTAGTGACCTGTGGGGCCGTCCTGGGTCCTGCAGGGTGTTTAGTGGCAGCCCTGGCCTCTCTCCTCCCATTAGACACCAGTAGCTCTTCCCAACCCCCATTCTGTTGTGACAACCAAAGTGTCTCAGACAGGGCCAGACATGGCCTGGGGGAACACACTCTCAGCTCAAGGAGAGTGTACCTGGTAGAGATGTGTCATAGGTAACAAGGCTGCACGGGGTATGGGGCTGCCTGGGGTATGGCCTACCAACTTGAAAACCATTTAAATTGTGCTTTAGTAAACGACCAATTGATACTAACATGGGCATAGGGTTGGAAAACACACAGACATGAGTACTAATGCCCTCTTGTGCTTGGACGAAGGGAGAAAAATGAGAAGAAAAGCTCAAAAGCTAGTGAGAATCAGCTCATTAAACACAGGAGTTTGTGCACGTATGCACGCACTCACACACACACCACACCACACACACACACACACTGTGCATTAAGTACTTCCCAACTGTCATTGTGCCAGTTAAAACTAACCTCTGCTAGTAGTATCTAACTGTGGGGACAGCATGGCACTGCATAGGAGCATTTTTCTAGCCTCTAGCTAAGATTTGAAAGCCTAGTAGTGAATGTGGTACATTCACAGCAGTTAGCTTGGGTGAAACACTGCACAGGATGAAGTGTCCATCTGGGGTAGCCTAATGGTGGCCTGACAATTGCATACCGGCGGGAATTCCGGTGCCGCTCCCTGCCTGCATCAGTGAGTCGTGACCGCCCCACAGCTCTCCCCTAGACAGTCATCAGATGGTCCCTTGTCTCGTCACTCTTTGACGATGTGTTAGCTGAATTAGACTGTTCCAAACTAGGATAACCACCACGTACTTTATCATGGTTAGTGCATATATAGGCAATTTTGTTCACGTCAACAAACTTTACACAAATGCTTTTGAACAGTGGATTTTAGATTCAAACATGCTTTCTAGATCAGAGATTAGCTTTTCTTTCTTGGAATCCTAGTGTCACTATGGACGTTAGCTGCAAGCTGTAGCTTCAATAACCCGTCCACTTAAGACTCTCGGGAACGTTTATCAAAATACATTCTCCCGGCCACGGAACTCACCTTCTAGCTGCCCGACAGTGCCGATGTGAGTCTGGAGTCTAACGTCTGGAACTTTGGTTTAATTTCTAGATACTCCAATGCTTCTGTGGTTTGTTTAAGCCCACTGTCAGTTCTCCTAGAATCTCATCAAGTGGAACCTGTGAAATGCAGGCTGTGTCTGACCTCCCCCCTCCCCGTGTGCCAGTGCTTCAGATGTATGGTACGATGCTTGAACTGGTTCTCTAGTGTTAAATTATAGTCTCAGCCTGACGATGTGCTCAGAGATGTATCAAAATCCACGTAATGCAACTCTTTAGATTATGTCTAACGTGTCAATAAAAGATATATTGCAATCCTTCAGTAATATTTTCCATTTTTCTCAGTGAAAGCTTAATTATAAATGTTACCTTTCCACAAGATGGGACACGCTGCCTAGTAACATCAACTTTGGAAAACACCCAATATTTTGTGAACACGTAATTTTTAAAATTAATTTTTAGTTCCATGACTATTCTCCTGGTTTAAAAAAAAAAAAGGCAAAAACGAGAAGGTGCAAGCAAGGGGACATGCTAGCCGCAGAACCGTTCGGGCGTCCGCCGCCCGCGCCCGTGGGGACCGGGGTACCGCGCTTGGGCCCGCAGGGCAGGGCGCCCGCCTGGGAGCGCAGGTCAGCGGCCCCGCCGTCACTGCGGGTCGGGCGCGGCAGTCCTACGGTAGCAGAATCTGCTCGGGGCCGACGCCCTGCGCTCCGTGCCGAGCGCCCAAGGCGGACTATGTGGACCAGGCCGAGCCAGGGACCTGTCCCCGCGGTCCCGACGGCAGGACGGTGCCCGCGGGGAGGGGCACGGGGCGGGGCGGGGCCTTCTGGAGCAGCCAGCGCGTGCGCAGCGGGAGGGAGGGGGCGGGGCCCTGCCGGCGCAGCCAACGCGCATGCGTTCTGGGCGAGCGGGGGGCGGGGCCAGCGCCCTTCTCCGGGGCGGCCGGCGCGGAGGGGCGGGGTGGCCTTGGCGGCGCGGCGGCTGCGCCCTGAGCGGCGTCCCCGGAAGTACAGAACCGGCAGCGCCACGTCTGCTTCCAGCTGCTCGGAGCGCAGCGGCCCAGCCGGGGAGCGGCTCCCGCCGCGGCCATGGGCAGCTCTGGCCCGCGCGCCGGCCCTGCGCCCCTCCTCCTCCTGCTGGTGCTGCTCGGCGCCGAGCGGCCGGGGGCCACGGAACTCACCTTCGAGCTGCCCGACAGCGCCGAGCAGTGCTTCCACGAGGCGGTGGAGTCGGGCGTGAAGTTCTCCCTGGACTTCCAGGTGAGCCCGGCGGCGGGGCGCGGTCTGCCGGGCCCCCGGGGCGCGCAGGCGGGGACGGGAGGGTCCCATCGCTGTCGGCCCCAGGGGGGCCGACCGGTCCCCGCGTGCATGGGAGGGCGTATGTACCCCGAGGCGTGGGCAGTGTGCAGGGCAGGTGGGCTCACGGCTCTCCGGCTCTAGCGAGGTGGGTGCAGCCGGTGAGAACGGCCGCGGCCCCGAGCGCTGGCGGAGGGCTGTGCGCGGGGCGGTGCTGTGCCTCGTGCCATGTGGCTCGGGAGAGCCCCGCCCCCGCGCCCCTACCTCCTCGGACAGGTCTCGCCGGGAGCAGGCCTCCGCGGAGGGGGTCTGCCCCTAAGGCTAGCGAGCAGGCGTAGGGTTGGGGGCCACATGCTGGCAGGCCTTCCAGAGCTGGGCTTGTTTGGGCCGCGGGAATGAGGGCAGGCCCTTAGGCGGGCCCTCTCTGGCCAGAGCCCCTCAAAGAGGCCTGTGCTTGGGGGCGCTGTCACGTGCGATGGTCTCCGAGTCACGCATTTGGCCACTTCCACATTTTGTGGACAATATGCAAATCATAGCTGGGTTAACGAGGTAGGTACAATCACCAAAAAATGATAATTGTGACACTGGAGGGGCCTGGGAGGTCATCCGGTCACTGCTAGTCAGCAATCCCTGGTGTTCAGCATGGGGTTAAATACCTCCATCAACAGAGAGCTAGCTCACTGCTTCCCAAATCAAATTCTTCTGGACAAAGAGGAACAGTTAAAGTTTGGAAGCTGATGGAGGCTGTTGCCTGTGTCCACGATGGACCTTGGTCATAGCTACTGACCACCTGCATGGTTTTGCCCCCTGCTCCTCTTACATCTGTGAGGAGAGTTCACACTCACTGATTCTATATTTACCTTCTCTTTGCATTTGATCAGTAATAATAACATTTGCTAGATGTGTTCAGCAATCTACTTGACTTTGGAGCCTCGGTTTCCTTTTCTTTAAATAGCAAAGGTTGAGCTCATTGCACCCTCCCGGGCAAAACCTTTGGGGTCCGGCTGACACGGATTAAAATCTAGCCCTGTCACTTCCAAGCAGTGTGCCCACCTCACCTTCAGTTTTACCTTCTGTACAGTGGGGCATGTCAGCACCTGGGCTGGAAGGTTGTGAAGATCAAATGAAGCTGTGTGTAGCGCCTGACAGCGGGGCCTGGGCGGCGCTTAGTCAGTGGTTGTCCTTGGTACCAGCCGGCTGCGGGTGTCGTGTGGTTTCAGGTCATCACTGGAGGCCACTACGATGTTGACTGCGACGTGAAGGACCCCCTGGGGAACACCATCTACCAGGGGACCAAGAAGCAGTATGACAGCTTCACACACCGGGCTGAGGCCACGGGCGTCTATCAGTTTTGCTTCAGTAACGAGTTTTCCACCTTCTCTCACAAGACCGTCTACTTTGACTTTCAAGTGGGGGACGAGCCCCCCATTCTCCCGGACATGGGGAACAGGGTCACAGCTCTCACCCAGGTGAGTGGACATTGACACTGACGGGCCGGGCTGGGCCCCTCTGGCCTGCTTCTCCTCTGCCCCGTCTTGGCTAATGAACAGAACCCCCGTCCACCCAGCTCCCCGCCCGGAGGCCTCGTGTGGCTTTACCTCGTTTCACAGTTCATCCTGTAGGACACCGTTCTCCGTCTGATCTTCCTCCCTGTTTAGCCGGGTCCTGCGTCACTTTCGCTGGTATTCCTGCCCCCTGTTTGGTCTTTCCCACGGCGGCTTTTCAGAGCACCCGCCCTATGCCTCTCTGCTCATGCCAGACGCCTGCATCTTAAAGGCCTGAGCCCTGCTGTGCATGGCGTGCTGGTTAAGGCAGCACGAGCTATGGTGACAAGTGCACCCGAGTGTCAGTGCTTAACACACAGATCTTTTCTCACTCAGATAGTCTGGGCTGGACAACTTTCCTCAGTGGAGTGACTCAGGAATCCAGGCTTTTCTTTCTTTTCATCTCTCTGCTGTCCCTTAGGGCTTCAGAGTCCTCTGCCTTTAGCCACCAAAGAGAATGAGAAAGCCCCACCTGCTTCCTAAAAGCCCTGGCGCAGGAGTAACACTCATTACTTCCACTCATCCCATTGTCGACAAGCAGTTGTGTGTCCAGTCTGGGTGGCTGGCTGGCAAATGCAGTCCCCTTTGGGCAGTGGAGTCCCAGCAGCTACTCCACACTCTGGGAGAGAAATGGAGACATTTTTGGAGGCTGGCTAGTTATCTCGGTCATGCACGGCCTTCAAGGTCAGTTATACCCAATCTCTGTTCTTCATTAGTCTTCCCTCCTGCTGGCTGGGCTTGCCCCTCCCATGAGCAGGCTCCCAGCTTCCCAGGCTAGGACCCTACTACTAGTTACCCTCGTAGCCTGTGCACCCCAGTGCATGGGACGTGGGGCACAGGGACTCCCCACATACTTGTCACATGACTGAGTGCAGAGCCCGGGGAAACCTGCAAGATGGGAATGACCACGGTTGCTGCACTTGTTCCAGAACCAGCAGCGCCAGATCACCTTCTGGGCTGCCCTCCAGGGTGGCCACATGCTCTGTTCCTCTGTGACCTTGCCCGTGGGTTTGTCTGCCCCCCTCAGCAGTTGAAGGCCAGTGCTGCACGGTTCAGTATGGTGACACATGGCTATTTGCATTTAAATTCACTTAAGTTAAAATAAAAATGCACTTCCTCATCTGTTCTGCAGCAGTGTTGTCTGTGCTCCGAAGGCACAGGTGGCCAGTGGCCATGCCGAGTTCCGGGGCCTGCGCCGGGTCTGAGCTCGGCGGTGTGACTGCTCGCCGAGATCCAGGCCTCAGTGTGCGTTGTGTGGAAGATCTCCACAGCTTGTGCTCCCGAGAGTTCTGGTGGTGGTTGATGAAATAGCCTCTGTTTTGAAGATTTTATGTCTCTAAAAGCTGAGCTGAGGGACTTCCCTCTCTAACTGGTGGAAAACATCAGTAGAGCAAAGGCTTAACAGGTTAGCGCCGTGGAGACACCTTCCTGGGGCCTTAGACGGGTTACAGTTCCCCCGTCTGCATCGCTGGTCCTTGTCTTCCCCCTGCCCAGCCTCAGGAGAGGTGCCTCCTTCCACCTCTGCAACTCTGACCTCTGCCTTGAACGGGGGTCGGTGTGTTCTGCGTCCCAGAGCTCTCGCTCACCGGCGGTGAGCATTTACTCAGGCTGCACGCGGTGCTGGGCGGCAGAAGGAACGGGATGAAGGTGCCGTCCCTGAGGCCTGGGACACCCTGTGGGCTGCAGCCCATGAGCTGTGGCTGCCGGGCCTGTGATCAGAGCTGGGGTGTAAGGGTGAGGGCTCTTGGGGGCCCTGGATTCTTCCAGGTGAGCCGGGCAAGTCTTTACTGGAAGATTTCACTTACAAGTGAAAATGTGGTTGTCTAGGGGCAGGTGTGCCCGGTGTGGCAAGAAGAGCAGGTGCATGAAGCGGGGTGCGGCTTCTGCTTTGCCCAGCGGCCCTTGTTCCCTTTTGCTCACATGGACCAGCCAGCATCTGTTTTCTCACTTCCTCCAGATTTCTACAGCCCAGGGGGAGCCGGAGGCTGTGTTTTCGGATACCAGCATCCATTGTGGGGGGAGAACAAGGTGATTCCACCAGGTGCCTTGTTCTCTAGGTGACCAAGGCCAGGCCGAGGTAGCCAGCGGGACTTAGGTTCGGCTCGGGTTCCAGCTTCACCAGGCTCCTGGGAGAGATGTACCTGGGCGAACGCTCCTGCAGGGCCAAGCTTCAGGGCACATCAGCCGAGACTGAAGGTGTCGGACAGAGGTCAGAGGCCCACGGCTGCCTCGTGGTTGCCTAGGGAGGATGAAATGCTTCCTAACTGCTCTGAGACCGGCTCATGCTTCCTGCCTTTGAGTTCTTGAGGACCTTACAGACCCAAATACTTGCATCAGTGGAGGCCCCATGAGGGGAGGGCTGAAGGAGAGGCCAGTGGCTACAGACTGAAGACCCGGGCGTCAGAGGTGTAGAGATGGGGTGGGATGTGGTGTGCAAGTGGAGGGGCTGGGAGGGGGCCAGTCAGGTGTCTGCAGAGACCAGCTGTCATGACAGAGGTGACCAGGCTCCCAGAGACCCAGGTCTGGTGGCCTTGGCAGTGTGGAAGTTGGCACTCTAGGCAAGCTGAGGACCCCTGGCTCTGGGAGCAGGCTGGAGATGCCAGCCTGTCCTGTTGGGACAGAGCAGGGGTCCTGGAGGGCATCTTCAGAATCTGCCTGCCACACAGTATTTTGGCAGGTAAGGCCATCATGGGGCAGTATTGTTACATAGGAGCATTTGCATAAGTGCATATTTATATGTATATTCATCTGTGTGTCTGCACATTACACGTGTGAGGAACCTAGGTCTTTGTGTGTCTGCATAAACCATAGGTAGCAGTTAAACAATAGAATGAACGTCCGGTGCGGTTTGACCTCCTCTGCTGGTGACAAGCTCTGTGACCTTGGGCGATCACGTAGCCTCTCTGAGC